ATATAAATTTCTGCCGTATTAGTTGTTATTTTTACTACAAGCTTTCGTCTGTTCCTACAGACATCTTCAGGTATAGAATAGATGTTGTTCTTGTTTTTTCTCTTAGTAATAATATATATATGTATGTATATATATATATATATATATATATATATATATATATATATTAAGAAATGCACAAAAGTCCGATAATTTATTTATTAAAGAATTTTTTGTTTAACGTTCTTTTTTATAGATACAAGTATTTAAGTAAATGCTCTGTATGAATTATATTATAAACAGAGCATTTACTTAAATACTTGTATCTATAAAAAAGAACGTTAAACATAAAATGTCTCTATATATATATATATATATATATATATATATATATATATATATATATATAATGTAAAGAAACCTTCATAGTAACTTACCGGTTTTACTGCAAATGATATTGAACGTACAAATATTTTTCTTCAAATACAGCAAATGGTTAAAGTCAGTATGTTAGAAGAACAGCCGTCACAATATACCTATGCTCGCGTAGTCCTGGTGGAGGTTGGTAAATAAACAAACGTTCATTTATTTAGAGGAGTTGACGTAAATATCTGAACCCTTTTAGCCGCAGTTGTTAAAACGGCAAACGCCTCAGTGTAGCCATATTTCGTCGAAAATCGATTAGCCAGTAAATCGCTCTGCTATTTATCTTTGAATTATATATATCGTTCTGTAAAGAGTTGATCAAATGCTAAATTAGCAATGGCACGAGCCGATAAATAGAAAGAAAGACGCATTACGGAAAGAGCGTAGAGATACAATGGATTTAATGGGGCCCAGCGTACTACCAAATAATAACGCATACCTGGTTTTAAGATTATTTAATATAATCACAGAGATGGAAAAGCTCAGCAGAAGGCACGAAGAACCAGATAAATTGTATAATAATCAATAAATAGATTCAAGAATGAATTGTTGTACTGTTAAATTTATCCAGCTGCTGACTGTGGGAGTGACCACCTTCCAATCATATGCAAACTCAGTCAAAGAAATTAAAGAAAATCAAAGCAGTGACCAAACTACAATCTGACAGACTCTTTAATGACCAAATTAGTAAACGGATTAAAAGAAAATATTAGGTTGGTGCAAAAATAATGACGTAATAATGTCGTTTTTGACGTTACGTCAAAAAACGACATTGTTACGTCATTATATTTGCACCAACCTAATACCTTTGATGAGACTGGAAATGCAAAGTTGAACACCCCAAGAGAAACTTTAGGGATATCGGCGAATGAGATCGTCCCGACGAGAAAAAAAAAAGCAGTGGATGACAGACGAAATTCTCGTGATGATGTAAAAGTGACTAACAATAACACGACGGATACAGAATACGGAATATTAAATACAAATATTAGAAAAAAATGCAGGCAACGAAAAGACGAATAACTTAACGGAAATTAGGCAAAGATAGAATCAATGAAAGCTTCGATAGAATCATGATTTTTTTTTTCTTTCTCTCTTTTTTCTATCTTTAAGAGGCAACTGTCTTTGAGTGTGTTTGCAGAACTCATCAAGTGTGCTATACTCGTCAGGTGAAAGTCTAGAGCAAAAGAGTTATTAACGCACTAAAATGTAAGAAGTACGGACTTAAAAAGCAGGGATTATATATGAGGAAGAGCTTAATTCGAGCGAACACAAAATTTAAAGAATAAAGAAAAGAAAGAAGAACAAATTCATATACAGAGAAAAGTTTATTTTTCTCTCTGTTCATATGTTTATCTATATAACTATCTCGCTAACCTCATCGGTCTATCTATCTATCTATCTATCTATCTATCTATCTATCTATCATATATATATATATATATATATATATATATATATATATATCGGTATGTTCATGTCTATCTATCTATCTCGGTCTGTTTAGATCTATCTAATTATCTATCTTGTTTGTTTTTATCTATCTATCTATCTATCTAATTATGTTGGTCTGTTCATGTCAATCTATCTTTCTATTTATGTCGGTCTGTTCATATCTATCTATCTATCTATATATATATATATATATATATATATATATATATATATATATATATATATCGGCCTGTTCAGATCTATCTATCTATCTCGGCCTGTTCAAATCTATCTAGCTAGCTACTATCTAATTATGTTGGTCTGTTCATGTCAATCTATCTTTCTATTTATGTCGGTCTGTTCATATCTATCTATCTATCTATCTATATATATATATATATATATATATATATATATATATATATAAATATATATATATATATCGGCCTGTTCAAATCTATCTAGCTAGTATCTAAGATGTTGGTCTGTTCATGTCAATCTATCTATTTATCTCGGTCTGTTCAAATCTATCTAGCTATCTATATATATATATATATATATATATATATATATATATATATATCAATCTGTTCAGATCTATCTATTTATGTCGGTCTGTTCAAATATCTAGCTAGCTACTATCTAATTATGTTATCTGTTCATGTCAATCTATCTTTCTATTTATGTCTATCTATCTATCTATCTATATCGGCCTGCTTCAGATCTATCTATCTATCTATCTATCTCGGCCTGTTCAGATCGAAATATCTATCTCGGCCTGTTCAAATCTATCTATCTATCTATCTATCTATCTATCTATCTATCTATCTATCTATCTATGTCTGTCCAGATCTATCTATCTATCTCAATGTGTTTCTTTCTTTCTTTCTTTCTTTCTTTCTTTCTTTCTTTCTTTTCTTTCTTTCTTTCTCAGTCTGTTTCTATCTATCTCAGCCTGTATATCTTTTTATATCTATCTGTTCATTATCTGCACCTACGACTATTCCTCATCCTCTATATATATATGTGTGTGTGTGTGTGTGTGTGTGTCTGTGTTTACCCGCGCGAGCGTGCGTGTGGTACGTGTACTTTCTCGTATATTGCGAGAAGCATTCGTGACGTCACCTTACGAACGCCTTTTTTTCCCATTGATTTGATTGTCTGTTCCTTTCCGCTTCTCCGTCACAGATTTCCTTTCCCCCTCACCTTCGTTCTCCCCGGCATGATGTAATTGGATATCAGTCTACCGATGCCTCAACCTCGCGTCTAACAGCCTCCCCAACCACGTGACCCGCCCTCTTCTTTTCACCTTTTCTGAGTTGATTGCTATTTACCTGCCTCGTCTTAATGCCGTTACACTTCTCTGAACGTTCGTTGACGTGAACAAACATTTTCTCCGCTCTTACCCACACTCCAAACCGATTTTTCATTAACTTTTTATCACACATATATATATATATATATATATATATATATATATATATATATATATTCAAGTTAAATTTAATACACAGTCACAAAGAGAGCTTTGAATATAAAAAAAAAAATACCCCCAAAATAAAATACTCCCAAAATCCGAATATAGTATAATCTAGACTTCTTCGAATTAAGCTTCCTCGAATTTGGACTCATCTTCAAATCCGAAATGTTATATTGACATAAATATGAAGCTTTTTTCTTCCTCGAATCAGAACAGTACCCTCAATACCAAACATCTCAGATGTCTGGTTTAGAGGAGTTGTACTGTATATGCTTATTTTTGACTTCCTTTACAGATTGTAATTGTTTTTTAATATATCTTGCCCATAATAATGTCACTAAGTTCAAAAAGAAAGACAATTACCTTTGTTTACGCAAGCTACTTTACTATTTAATCCATAGTTGAGGAAGAAAGGAATGATTTATAACCTACCTTCTTTTTTTTTCAAACCAATTCACCCCAAGCAATGCGTTAATACCATTAAGACGCAAGGGGCTACTGGGAATGAAAAACAATGAAAAGACTTTAGAAGGAACCAGAAACCCAATCCTGAACAGGAAACAAAGGATAAACCTCTACTCCTGTTCAAAAGACGGAGGAGAAGTGTGAACCGGACGATTGATTAGCAAAAGTAGTCAATGAAATGTTTTAAACAGAGAGCTTTGAATATAGCATAATAAAATACAGTAGAACTCCCAAAATCCGAACATCGTATAATGACTTCTTCGAATTAAGCTTCCTCGAATTTGGGCACATCTTCAAATCCGAACTTTTGTATTGACATAAACATGAAGCCTTCTCTTCCTCAAATCAGAACAGTACCCTCAATACCAAATATCTCAGATGTTCGGTTTAGAGGAGTTGTACTGGATTTCCTTATTTTTGTCTTCCTTTAAAGATTGTGATTGTTTTTTTTAATATTTCTTGCCCATAATAATGTCACTAAAAAGGAAGAGAATTATCTTTGTTTACGCAAGTTAGTTTACTATTTAATCCATAGTTGAGGAAGAAGTGGATGAATTCATAATCTACCTTTCTCGATATGTTAAAAAGCATTCAGAAGGTTTTATTTAAAGAATTCAAATTTCTTGTTTTATGATTTTTTACTCAAATTTCTTATTTTATAATTTTTTTTATTGTAAATTTTATAATACAACAATAAATGGCATCCGTCCTTCCGTTTTTACTTTTCTCCTTACGTTAAATAATGTAGAATACAAATATGGTGGTAGGATACACTGATCGTTAAAGCCGTACCAGAGTTTTAAGTTTTTTTTTTTAACTTTAAGATTTTGTTGCTCAGCACAGGAAAGGGGTTGTCCAGACTGAAGGGGAGGGTAATGTATTATTCCAATATCTTATTTAAAATTCAGTCAAATTACAATAGAACTCCCGAAATTCGAACATAGTATAATCTAAACTTCCTCGAATTTGGTCTTATCTTCAAATCCGAACTTTTGTATTGACATAAACATGAAGCCTTTTCTTCCTCAAATCAGAACAGTACCCTCAATACCAAACATCTCAGATGTCTGGTTTAGAGGAGTTGTACTGTATATTTTGATTCCCTTTACATGTTGTAATTGGTTTTTAATATTTCTTGCCCATAACAATATCACCAAGTTCAAAAAGGAAGAGAATTATCTTTTTTTTTTTAATGACCAATGGAATATCCAGGCATTCGCATTATAAAATGAAATTATCAAAATGAAACTGAACGATCGTAAAGAGAAAGAATGTCGTACACGCGTCAAAAGCGCCATAGAAACAACTTTCATGAATGCAAATGAAGAACGCAACGAAATTCAGGAAGATATGACAATGGACGAATGATGAATTTATAACTTTCATGAATTTTGAAACATTTCATAAAGTGGTTTAGTTTTTCACAAATTATATTTGTTTAGCACAAATTTTTCATTACTATTTGTGGTCAATTATTTTTTGTTCATTTATGTATTCAATTTACACTTCAAATAAAAACGAATCAACGTTACAAACTACCTTTTGTATCGTAAAATCTAAAACTTAATAAAAAGTCTAAGCTTGCCACAGCAGCCTTTTCTTCCTCGAATCCGGACAGTACCCTCAATACAGAACATCGCGGTTGTTCTGTATCTTACATTTGGCAGATTTACTATTCGTTTGTACCACGTGTTCATTTTGTGAAGAGGGAGGAGGTTTTTACATGTAAGTACCTTTACTCTTTTTACTCGGGCATATTTTTACGAATTGAATTTTTGTTATTTATTGTACTATTTTTTACTTAATCTTCTTTCTTCCACTAAACAAAAAATCATAATTTAATCCCGAGAAAATTCACGAAACTTTTATGGCTACAAAAAAACCTATTACGCCAAATATCTCAAAACTACAAAAAATCCATATAGAACCTTTTTTAATTTCGGACGACGATATGTACGAGGTCGATTTGTAAAATAATGGGGCTGGTGTCACAAACAATTTATTTCAATTCCAAATAACAAATTACATGGTTTCCCCCCTTCAAAGTAACCTCCCTTGAGTCTGCACTTCTCTGTCACGTTTCTATGCACTGCTCGAAGGATTCTACTTCGATGCACCTCAGCTCGGGTCTTGAGGGTTTCCACGTCTTTAAAAGGGGTCCCTTTGATTATCCCCTTGAGCTTGGTCGGGGGAAAAGTCATACGGAGCAATATCAGGGGAATACGGAGGTTGTTCCAGTACGGCGAGGTTTGTCTCGGCCAGGAAATCCCGAAAGGTCTGAGTATTGTGAGCAGGGGCATTGTTGTGGAAGCAGCTACGATTTGTCCTGCCACAACTCTCGTCTCTTCTCGCACACTGAACGAAGCAAACACCGCAGTATCTCTTTGTAGACTTACTGATTGATCGTCTGGCTCTGTGGCAAGAACTCACTATAGACGATGCCTCTCATATCAAAGAACGTGATCAGTCGTATTACTTTTCAGACAGACCTCGTGTATGTGTATATATATATATATATATATATATATATATATATATGTGTGTGTGTGTGTGTGTGTGTGTGTGTGTGTGTGTGTGTGTGTTTGTGTGTATGCGTGTGTGTGTTTGTGTACTTGAGAGAGAGACAATGGATTTGCGGCCAAAATGTTAAGCCATAGCTGCTGATGACGGTGCAACATCTGTTACTGCTGTGCAGCTCCACATAGGAGTGGCAGTCTCGACTGCAACCAATATGTATCAAAATATATCAGGACAGTTGCTATCGTAACGGAGCTAAAGTACGCAGAATGAAGCTGTTTGGTACGGATTATATATATGATTAATATATATATATATATATATATATATATATATATATAATATGAACTATTTTACTTTATGATAAATATATATATATATATATATATATATATATATATATATATATATATAAAGTAAAATAGTTCATTTATCTTATTCAAAATACGTACTCAGAATGTAATGGATTTTTGTTATATCAAATGCTTTATTTTCCTCTGTCACTCTTGCCTTCAATCCGCCCTGTGAGTGTAAGATTTTCCAAGTTCTCCGTCTATCTGCCCCAGCAATTTTAAATGTCTCTTCCTGATGTTAAGTATAAGTTTCGTCCTTGTTTCCTTTTTCTTTAAAACTTCGTCGTTGCTCATATGTTCAGATCCTGCTATCGTCAGCATCCTTCTGTAGAACTACATTTCTCTTGCTTTGCGTCTCTTCTTCATCTGTGAGGAGACTGTCTGGCATTCACTACCATATAGGAGGACTGATGTTACGTAACAGTTCTGTTCTCTTTTCTTTATTTCTAACGAATATTTTCTATTTCTTAATACTTTGCTTAGCTTTTGGAAGGCATCTTTGGCCATCCCAATGCGTCTTCGGGAATCGGTGTCGCACTTTCCATCCTCTGTTAGAATTTGTTTGATTTGATTTGTAAGTTGAACTTTGGGCTCATCCTTTTGCAAACAACCATACATTCTGTCTTCTTGCGGTTGATGTTTAGTCCTTTCTTCTTGCTTTCCTTCATTACATTCTGTAGGAGTTTTTCTTTCCGTGTCTGCTGCCAACAATCTGTCATCTGCATATCTTATGTAGATAAAATTCTACCCGCTAATTTTCTATTTTTGTAATTTTAAAATCCTGGTAGGACTTCAGTAAGGTTCTTCATTCAGAATCGACTCATATGACCGAAAAAATAGATTGTCAAAAAAGTCTGCTGTAGAAAACATATCCTTATCATACATCTACGTTTCTATTTTGTATATCCGCTAAGCTATTTTTTATCCGTTTGCAGGCGATTTGCTGACAGTATAGGTTCTTCATTCTTCTAATGTCCTTCCTAAATATGTCAAGATTGTCAAACTTCCAACAGATCTTTCTGGTGTATTTTATCGAACCCCTTTGCTTAATCTATAAAACGCAGGTTCACGTCCATACCAATCTGTTTGTTTTGACTCTTTCAGCAAGATAGGGTTTTAAATATGTTCACTGGGCTCAAAAGGTCCGCTCAACCCAGCTCTTGAGTATTTGACAAACCCTTTACCAGTGTTAGAGAAAATGATAGCAATGCCCAATAAAGGGTTGAACAGTGGTAGATGAAAAATGAAAATAATGCCCAGCCTAAAACCAGTTGAAGACTTCGTCATTTGTTTTGCTATTGGTTGTCTTATTTTGAAGAGCCAAACACAAAAAAAGCCGTAATATTTTGATGTCGTCGAAACGAAATACCAACATGTGATCATCTTTTTCAATGTGCTTTAAAAAAAAAAAAGATTATTTTTTTACATACATATTATTTGCAGAGTCCCAACCTGGATTTTTTTATTTTGAATAATTTTTTTTTAGATAGATAGATAGATCTGAATAGATATGATAGATATGAAGATAGATAAATAGATAGATAGATATGAA